GGAAAGATGCAGGCCTGAGAGTTGACCCACTAAATAAGAGTTTTTTATGTGCTAATGCCCTGCTACCACCCCAGTAAGCTCACCGGCATAAATGAACTCTTGTGGTCTGGGATCTGTGCCAAATGTGTCCCTGAAGGTCACACATACAGCATGTGTTGAACTGAAGTCTCCTGAAAACCTGGCCCTGGGACTAAGTGAACATAGTGCTCACATGGTAAGGTGTTATGTCTATCCATGGGTCTGTTTCAGTATGTACTCTCCAAGACAGAGCTGTATGACCTGGTTTTGTGGACATGATAATTGTGTCTAATGTAAGATTTGTTGGGTTTTGTCTATTCATGACCACCTAGTGAGTTAATAAGCTAAACCTTTTCTCTTCCTCCAACATATTAATTACCTTACTCAAAAAGGAGCTTGTAAAACCTGTGGTGGCGTGACATTTGGCTGAAACACATATCTAACGCACCCTCTGCGAAAAGGCGGGGTATTTAAACCGGCAGTGCCCAGCTCACCGATTTGCTCATTTAGCCTGTTGCTACGTTTGCTAATTTCTGTAACACAAACCATTTGCTTCTACGACAACTACCGCAGCCGGCTAATGTAGCATTTAATGAAGAAGCTAACAAGCCAACAGTCAAAACCTGCTGACGGGAGAGTTTTGTCACGTTTCTCCTGCCCTGTGTGATGATGTTGCTGCTGGAAGTGAACTACTCCATTAATCAACTGTGTGGGCCTTAAACAGCCGAAAGCTGTCCTCCTGTCTCGGCGTCAGCCTTGGGGACCAGGTGACTCCGGGAGATTTCATCCTCCATTGAGACCGCTTCACCCTGCCAAGGTTAGTGCTTTGCGGCCTGTGATGTCTTGTTTGGCTAATGTTTGTGTGCTTGCTGATGCTGCTTGCTTCCCAGCAGACTGGCTTATGAACATTGTTCTGTTGCTAATTTCTGCTGTAATGATGATTTCATCTAACTTTGGGCCTACTTTTTGGTTGTTGTTTGGCACAGTCGGTTGCTAGGTTGGTTCCTAGGCTGCTGTTTATCATGGCTGTTTCCTGTTGTCTGCTGTTATCCAGGGGTTTATGAAAGAGTGCTGCTTATCAGTGTGTATGATATTTAATGAGAACACGTTGTCTGCTCCAGCCATTAATTTTTTGTCAGTGTGATATATGTAGGTTCATAATTATCATATGATTATTATTATCATTATGATGATGTTGGTGATGATTATCATATAGCTTGTCTTCATCTGTTGCTGCACATGAAGTGGATTTCCTCATCTTAGATTCAATTCGTGGTCTGTGGTGTCTTGCAGGAAAGTAGCCACACAGCAGCTGGTGCTTGTGGCCTATATAAAGCAGATTTTAAATCATGGCAGGCGTTGGGCTCTATATCTACTGTAGCTTTCAGTGGGAAGTTTTTAATCATCTCTCCCCAATCTCTGCTGTGCTGATCATTGCCGTATGTTTGTGGGGAGTGATAAAGCCAGTGCCTAGATGCCAAATATTTCCTCTGTACAGACTTTTTACACATAATAAATTGTTGCATGTGACAAGTATCCTTGAGGAACACATTGAATCTGAATATGCTCATTTATTGTATGTCACTGGGGATGTAAGTGTCAGCCAGATGCCTACAATTTAATGTTCTCTGGTTATGCTATAAACAGATAATTTCCACTGTATAATCTTTAGTTTGCCGGAGGCTTTTTCTTTGTCAGTGCTATAGAAACATACTGTATGTGAGATTTATGTGGATTTTACTTCCTTCAAGTTACAGATGGGTATGATGTCATTTGGCAAGGACAATAAATACAGTATAGCAGCTATAGGCAAGTCCAATTTCATGTCCACACAAAGCTCTTAATTACTGCTGATAGGGTCATAAGGGCCATCTTCTATTCCAAGAAAAACGGTGAAACCACTGGGAGACTTTGCCAAAGATTTTCAACACTTTTCCTAAGAAAAGTCTGGAGAGCAACAATTTCGCAATGTATACATATCAACATGCTTCCCATATTGTTGTATATCATAGATATCATATGATTGGATGGAGCAAAGTGTGTGGGACTGGAGGACTAGTCACACAAGTTCAAGGAGAAAACCAAATATGTTTAGTGTGAAACTGACGCAACACTGAATTGTTTTTGACTCATTACAATTTTGGATTACAACATTTTTCTCATCTGGTTTCCCTGAATGTGAAACATCCATGCAGACCACACTGTTAGTCTCTTCCCCCTGAGCCAATTTTAGCTCTGAAATGTTGTTAAATGAAGATGCCCATTTAATATCACTATGATGGCAGAGAATTCCTGCGATGCCACTCCTGTTATTTTTACAGACTTCAACTGGATCACACATTGTGGGGGACAAAGCAGCATGGATACTATGACAGATATGAAGATCAGCAAAGTATTATTAATCTACTCTGTGTGTACAGTAACTCATTATGCTATCCACTGATGTAAAAGCTATGACAGTAATTCAACTTTGGAGATATTTTTATGATGTATTTTTTGTTGCTATCTAAGCTTACCATTGGCCAGTCCAGTCACGGTTCTGGGAAATATACTATGGAATTAACTGACATTGAATTAACACTAAACACTAACCTGGTTGGTTGCATCATCTTTATCATCTCTACGCCATAACTGAATCAGGGCTAAAGCATAGGAGACCATATAAGCTGGAAGAGAACAGAAGACCTCTAATGAAAGTGACAGGGTGGATCAACAAGGTTTAATATAGAACCAGTAAGGTATTTTAGTCCCTACATTTCCAAGGTGAAAATACCTCCCTAGACAGTAACACACACCAGGACACTGTTGTACCAATCGCTGACCAACCTAAAGATTGACTTGGGTGCAAAAATGTAGCCTCAGTCTTAATGAAACAGTAAAAAATTCATGGTATCCATGATGGACAAAAATATTTTTTTTGTTGGCTCAAATGTAAGTAGAGTACATCTGAAAATTCAAATCTTTTAATCCTATGTCTGATTTCATGTACATATGACTTTCACCCTCCACATCCACAGTACAGATCAGTGCAGGCCCAGTCGTTTCCAATGTGGATTTAGCATTTAAGATTAAATTTCACATTGCACTGGATGTGTTGTGCTTCATTACATTCAGAAGAACTGGGGAGAAGAAAAATGAATTTTTGAAGGCTGGAGGACCACAGGCCCAGGTCGGCCCCCACTGTGTGTGAACAGCTCTCACCTTTCTAATCTTTAAGAAAAACACAGCCAACATACTCTTCATTTACATTCAAAACATGCTCTTTTGTTTGCAATTAACTTTTGACTTGTGAACGTTTGACATGGCGTGTCATTTGGCCTTGTTCAAAGCACTTTACTTTGGCTCTCCTCCTCATTACGTGGACTTGAAACAATTTGTTGACTCTAAGCATCCACAGCTTGTTGTCAGATTCATTTAGATCTATAAATCCCTCTGTGGGTTGTGTCTCCAATGGCCTAACATGATGTCTGGCTGCATTACCAGATGCTGAAAAGTCAAATTCAGGGTCCGTGGCTACTTCACTGCTCTTTTTGCAACGTCTTGGCCCGGTTTCATGAAATACTTCACTTCTCACAAACCAGTCAGAGCCAGTGAATATGTGCACAAAGGACTGAAAGCACAGTTGCATAAGATTGCATTGTAAAAGTGTTCTGTCACAATACGATGATAGAAGAAACCAAGACCAAGTGATGAGAAAAGCTTCACATACAATCGGATATAAGAATGTAATGACAAATTTGAAAATGGCCACAGGACCTCACAGAACTCTAATAATCAGAAACATTGTGTTTTAATATCTTCCTGTACACGGTAATTAGAATTGTCAGCTTACATGTCTTGCTGTTCACATCATTTAGGATGTATGATAATGTTTCAGCATACAATGCTGCATGCTTTGTGACACTGTAGTTAATGATAAAAAAAAAAATCTTTTAAAAAAGTGGTTGCGTTGTATGTAGGATTTGAGAAAGCTGGTTTGAGACAGGCTTATCAGACGCCCAATCAGTGCATTGCAGTTCATACTACGGCACAGGAACTTACAACTTTGGGGAGGCATTCACATCACAAAGTAATCTACATCGAATATGCTTTCATGTCTTTGATTGGAATATGCTCGTGGGATGACATTGCGGCAAAAGTTGAGCTGGATTCAGCTTTTTTTTGTCCCAAAGGCCTAACTGAAATGACTAATGGGAGCTGTGTTTTTATGCGGTATTGTTGTCTGTCTGAACAGCTGCATGATGGTGTCAGTAAAAATGGAAACAAAGACAAAAGAACCAGAGGTAGAAATTAGAAAATTTCCATAAGGCAACACAACCAGAATGCGTTAAACCATTCACAGACATTCAAATATGCAGGACGCTGTGTGAAAACGGTGACTCTTTTCAGATAACAGTCCATAGTCCATATGAAGCTTCATTTTTCTTGTTAGTGTGTCCTTTTTCTCCCGAGAACCTTTCAGAATCCAACACCGCAGCAAATTACAGCATGCTGCCACTTAAACAGACATTATTTGGTTGTTCTCCTGCTTCTGGTTCCTTTTGTTTCACAGTGCGATTATCTGGCCTTAATCAAGAAAGACATTTTTGTTAGTTTGTTAAGAGTTGCATTAATTAGAAGCGAACAGTTTTTTGTATTTTAAATGATTTGTTGCAGTACCATACAGTGCTTCCTGTCATTTAAATGATACAGTGTCAGTGTTTGTACAATATCTCAAAGATTTCTCCATCTTTCTTTATTTTTCTCTCTCTTCTGGCTAAATATTTCAATTATTATGATCATAAGTTGGAGTTGAATCATGTGCTCTCACAGTCTTTACATACTGTCAAATAAGCAGACATTACCCCATATCTCTGCCTCAACCAAGGGTGCATTTACAACAGAGTAATATAATATTCAGCCATTTTGTATCAAAGATTCCAAGTTTGTGTTTAAAAAAAAAAAAAAAAAAAAAGATCAACAAATTGTTCTTAGAAACACTTAGTAAAGCAACACACAATCAGTAACTGGGCCTAATTTCCAGTTTAGCATCATCCAATAACAGTCTGTGAAGTCTCTGCTTCAGGAAGTGTCAAAGGATCGAAAGCCAGAGGTATAACATTAAGAGATTTATATCTCATAATAAGATGCAGTCATTAGCGCAGAGGTTAATGAGTCAGTGGTGGCTGTGATTGGTCACGTCTCCTCATTAAGTTATGTCCAGCCAGTCAGGTCGCTTGTGGGGCTTGCAGGTGTGAACGTCCACCACGTCCTCACAGTCTTTGCACTCCACGGCGCAGCACCACTTGAATTTGCACTCACACTTGGTGACGCGTTTGACTCGCATGGTGTCGTAGCCCCGCCCACAGCACATGACCTCACAGCCGTCTGTGCCTCTCGATGACTTGTTGCACACTCTGCCCGCTGTGCCCAAGGAGCCTGTGAAGAGATGAAAAGAATAAAATGCTGTAGTTTTGGCGTAATGGTAGATAACAATCCACTGGATGATTCCATTTGAATCATCAAAGCGTTCAATCAGAATTAATGTGACAATTTCAAAAATTTACACTTTTGTCCTTTCTTTTTTTTTTTATTTTTTTTTTTTTTATAGAGACTTTGTGTAGGACTTAAAGTGTAGGGACTATTGACCTTCTAGTTTAGAGGAACACGAATGATTTATTATATAACCTATAGTTGCATTTCAGTCTTAGAGGATTCTTAACACAGTCATCTGCGTGTGTATCAACAGCCAAAATAAATGACAAACCTTTTTTGAGAAAGGGTGAAATTCATGTTTATTTGTAGGAAACACAATGACTGTTATGTTTGCAATAAATAAGATAAACTGGTACTCCAACCTTATTCTTACAACTAACCTAAACTTTAACTAAATACATTCATTAGATGATTGCAAGATATGGTACAGACATTCATGATGCCTAGAGGATGAATCCTAATGACTTTGTTGATCCCCTGATTTTTCGTCTTGCGCCACCATGAGGCTGATATTTGTGATTTTTGAATGAAATGGCTAAACAACTGTTACATGGATGAATGACCTTGTAATTTGATGCAGGTATTCTTGTTCTTTCTGATCTTTGGTGATCCCCTGACTTTTCACCTCATCAGGTCAAGAATTCAGTTTGTCCAATACTTTGGTTTATTAACCACTAGCATGGCTAAGTTTTTTTCTTTTCTTTTTTTTTCTTTTTTACTTTGAGTCAACTTGCTTACTGACATGTACAGTATCTTTTTAGTATTTCATCATCAAAATTCAACTTGAGGGATAGCACTTAAAACCACCATTGTGAAGGCTGAAAACAGAGATTGTGTACCGTATTACCAAGGTAATGAAATGTTGCAGCCTCAAATATCTACTGACTGGATAGAACAGTGACACTCACCGAATTCTCCATCAAATTCATGTGTCCAATAGTTAAGTCCATTATTCACACACTGCTTTTAAAGTGAATAAATGGAAAATATACGGCTCTTCAGTAGCTAAATCTTCCACTGTATTCACTAGCTAGTTGCTAACATTGTCTGCTGTTTGGTGTTGGGGAGGTAGCATGTAGGAGGTTTGTCAGAGCTTTCTTAAGAGCTGAGTTTTCAGGGCCATAAAACCAAAACAATGAGCTAAAAGATGCAACAACACTGTAGAGCTGTGTGGGTTGATAATTTGCTCTGGCTTTGACCCCTTTCACATTACACTTTGATATCTGATGTCTTGTTAACATAAAAATATATATTAGTGCAGTTTTAAAGGAATAAGAACTCACAACTATGCTTTAAAGTAGGAATGACATGTACCTTTTCTATTGCAAATACAGTAACTCTATACAGGTGGCTACCTATTAGTTGCCCTATATCAGCTCAACTTAATTACATTTTGGAAAACCTGCAGTAATGGCATATAGCTTGTTGATGATCACTGAAACATCAGTGGAGATTCTGATGCTGAAAACTGAAACCATTTTTCCAAAGTGAAACATCAGTTTTCCCACACTCTCTGCAGGGTTTAGTCTTCCAGACACGTTGACAGAATAGTCTCAGACCCAAACACAAAGGTGTCCATGTACTCGGGTGTAAAAATCTAAGCCTATCAGATGCCACGTCTAATAACAGAGCATCCCTGAAGTAAAGAGAAAAGAATAAGAGAAGATATTCCCCTCAGGCTCTAGCGAGTGGAGCTTAATACTGACCAAAGGAGGGATTTGAAAAATAAGCCTGCATGTATCCTTAGGCTGTGAATTTTTATACAATGGAGATTAGTGGTGAGGAGGGTCATAAGCTTCTTTTAAGATCACCTTTTAACAAGGAAGGACAGGCCTTCCCTTTCAGTGAACACACCTTCATTACCCCTCAGTTGTCAACCTGCAACCAAGCTAACAGCAGGGAGGTGTGGGAGAATATGTTTAAGGTGGTACCGTCTTGTCTCCCGCACTATGATATCTAACCTAACCTATTAACAGTGAGTTAGTGAGTTCCTTCACGCTCTATTGAAGAGGCTGGATTGGAGGAGAGAGACAGAGATTAACAAGGCAAAGCAAACACTAGGAATTAAAGAAGATGTTAAAGGTCAAATCATTGAACTTTAAGCTGTGAAGGAATGCAAGCCTTCAGTGGATGGATCTCTGATTCTCAAAGGTTTTGTAAAACTGACTTTGGACCAACCCACATTAAACTTTTGAATGAAAATGAGAAAGTTGGTGTTGCAATTGCTATCTGAAAAAATCATTAAATTATTTTAACACAAGCTCAAAAAGTCTTGAATCTCAAAATATAGGCCGATGGTGTTTTGCTGATGTAGAACCGGCATAATGTACATGTTATGAAATATTTCACATAAAATTGAATAATGTTCATGAGGTCTGTAACATGACATCAAGTTGGTTATATTTCGATGCTCAAAGTGTCACAAACCAAACGCTGATTACATATAATGGTAATTCAAAAGTAGAGCAATGAATTATTGGCGAAACAAGAAAGTGCAGACCAAAAAGAAAAAGAAAAGTGATTTGCAAAGGTGAAGTCATTACACAGTTTGTCCACCAGAGAACACTGACAAGTCTATTTTTTTAGCTCAGTACCTTATGGTTTCTTATCAAGAAATGTTTGTTCATGTTGTGTACTTATGTAGCAAAATGTACACTCGCCAATATGTATTAAAGTGTTTAAGCTCTCAAATATAAAATATCTCAAGTATGGTATGGGTATATGACCCTTTAAGATAATTGTGATTGAAAAGTGAAAAAAGCCCAGAGGTCCGAATGCTTTGCTCATCATCAGACAGTTACAGCCACTCGTGCTTTTTCTTTTCTTTTCTTTTTTCATTCCCCTATGTGTTTTTTTTTATGTGCACCCACAGTATCAATACACTTTGCAAGCAGCTTCAAATTTTTCCGAAAACCTAATTCTTCATTCCTCTTCATTCATTCACTCACCTGCTGCACGGTCCATGAGACAATAATCTGGTGAGGTCTCCACGTATACCAACTCATTCTTGGTGCTTCCCTTGAAGTCCTTGTCAGCCACCATAAAACCCGTCCCATCCTGGTTCATGGTCACCTCGATGGCTGTGTTGTACTTCTTGCGGAGGTAGTCTCCAGTTCGCCTGAAGTCAGACATAGCCAGCCAGCAGGTTCTCAGAGAACAGGAGCCACTGACCCCGTGACACTTGCACTCCAGCTTCATAAAGCGCTTCACTGCCTAGAGCAGAGGTCAAAGGTGACAGGGTGTTAAGCCTATAATGTTGCCCGTGGCATGATGTAGGTGTGATCAGCTCTGCTGGCACAGTTGTTAGCTACAGTGCATTTGGAAAGTGTTCAGACCCCTTCAATTTTTTTTACATTTTGTTAAGTTGCAGCCTTATGCTAAAATAAAAAAAAAAAAAAAAAAAATCCCTCATTAGTCTAAACACAGTGAAAACAGAATTTTAGAAATTTTTAAATTTTATTAAAGAGGAAAAACTGATATATCACATTGCCATAAGTATCAGACTCTTGGCTATGACACTTGAAATTTAGCTCAGGTGCCTACCATTTCTCTTGATCATCTTCGATAAGTTTCTACACCTTGATTGGAGTCCACCTGTGGTAAATTCAACTGATTGGACATGATTTGGAAAGGCACACATCAGTCTATGTAAGGTCTCACAGAAAAACCAAGTCATGAGGTCAGAGGAGCTGCCTGCAGAGCTCAGAGACAGGATTGTCTTGAGGCACAGATCTGGGGAAGACTACATAAATATTTCTTCTGCACTGAATAGCACAGTGACCTTCATAATTCTTAAATGGAAAAATTTTGGAGCAACCAGGATTCTACCTAAAACTGGCAGCCGAGGCAAACTGAACAATTGGGGGTGTTTGCATTTCTAAATCATGTCCAATGAGCTGAATTTACTAAAGATGGAGTATCCCTGATATTTGGACAAAACAAGACACTTAAATACATTTTTGAGAAATTCTGGTGAGCTTTTTCATTGTTTCCTAATTTCTAAGTTCTGATTTTTAGAAAATTGTCTCTAAGGCTGCGTTTCCACCACACAAACTTTCCCCAGGAACCAGGAACCTATGCCCATTTCCACCGCAGGAACCAGGGTCTAAATTTAGTTCCAGGGTAATTGATCGACGCCTGAAAAAGTCCCTGGTCGGGGAATAGTACTTGCCAAAGGTTCAGGAACTTTGGGGGGTGTGGTCTGCTATGCTGAACATTTCTGACTGGTCGAGTACTTGCTGCATTTTATTTCACCCGTGATGTTTAAGAGTCCGTAGGGAGCGAGCGAGCAGGCGAGCACTGAGTGAAAAAACTTAAACCAAACTAAAAGTTCCAGGTACTTTTCAGTCAAAACGCGGCTTAAGCTGCAGACAGAATGGTGCCAAATCTCAGGTTTTAACATTTAAGCTCCTACTCACCATCCGACCACACCGGTTGTTGTGCAGGTTCATCAGCGCCCGGGCATCTTTCACCATCCTCTCGCGAGCATCTACGAAGGCTTTGGCAAACTTTATGCCGTAGTTGATGTTGTCACTGCATCCGCCCCAGTCAAAATTGCCCCTATCGTCGCTAGCTCGCCCCCGCTTGTGGCTGTCGCAGTTACAGATCTTAAGCTCCCCCTGACTGCAAGCCCTGGTTATGGCGTAGACCACTCCTGCTGAGGAAATTGCGTACACGAACGCTGCCTCTCGGCTGCCTGGGTGCACAGAAATGAGAAGTGTTGCAATTATATCAGAGAATATACTATTATAGGTGGAAAAAGAAAACTTTACTAGTGCTTTTATTTGATATGGGAAAGCAATGCAACTGGTTCTGTTACTATTTTTGGTAAGATTCAAGCTGTTCTTTTAGTGCCCAAGTTCACTGTGTTACTACTCAGTAAAGCAGCCTTTCTCAAGCATATTCCAGACAGCAAGAGCACAGAAATCAGTCCATTTATGGTGGATGGTCCAGACAGAGGTAACAGCATATCAGCTATAACATCACAGTCCAGTCGACTCTCCTTTCACCTTTTAATTTGCACAGATGGCAGCTTTCTCAGTCACTGAGCTGTGTTTTCATTTCAGACAAGAGGAGATTTTGGGGGTTATTTGGTCTGGCATTCCCACCCACCTCCTGTCCTCATTCCTGCTCACGCAATGAAGCAGAACACAGGCGATATGTCAGGGAGTAAAGCTTTGTCTGGCTGCCAGAAACATCTACCCAAATATTTACATCTCCTATTACTGTTTATACATCACCAGTGTGGATCTCTCGATCTGCTACTTGTTTTCAGAGAACATCCACTTTCCCAATCTTCCCTAATTCCCGGAGAAGGTTAAAAAAAAAAAAAAAAAAAGACAGCACTTTCTCTTTCTGTTTGTATTCTAGGGCAAAGTTAATTTAAAAAGACACCTATTAATTCTGTGCTTATCTGGTCAAGCGGAGATGTTTACGAGGATGATGAACTCGAGTGTGGCTGACATAAACAACTATGGTCACGCACATACAAAAGAACCACACAGATAGAAATACCAGTCGCACATGTGCAGACTCACTTCGCAGCATCACCCTGCCAAACACAGTGTGGTCCCGGTCCAGCGTGCTGCAGTTCCAGCGGTGATGTCTGAACTGGTGCTGGCACTCTTTGATCCACTCTTTGGCTCCCTCTCCGATGGACTGCATCAGGTCCGGGTGTCGCTGGCAGAGCTGCCGCTGCTTGTTCACCAGGCCGGGAATGTTGTCACAGATCACCCTTGCGCCCAGTGCTCCGATGTACCTGCAGACATAAATACAACAAACGGTATTAAAAATGATGACTTAAAGGGGCACTTCGACTTTTTTTTTTTTTTTTTTTACACCAAAATAACTTGTAAAGGACTACCACTAAGCTTGTGTGAAGTTGCTTAATGTCTTCTGTGGCTTTGGAGCAGCTTTGTCAGGTCTGGAAAAATAACCCTTGGTGATGTCATTATGACGTCATCAGGGTTATCTCAGTTATGTTTTATGCGGTATTCACATAAGGTCAGCAGAATAGGAACAATGGGAAAATCCTCCATAATTCCAACATGGGAGCATTCCCGCATTATTCCACAATGGTTACCCCCTCTACTGACTATGTAGCCACACCAATAATTAGCCTGAAGCAGCCACTTTGTTGTGTTTCGTATTTGTAGTGGTTCAATAACAAGTCAAACCAGCCACATACAAACAATTTGTGTAGAACTCATTTTAGGTTAACTGAACTATATTTGTGCTTATATTCAATTTTATTTAAGGGTTAACTCCCTGCAAAAATGGCTCTGCTGATACTTTGCCACTGGTTTGTTGACTCTTATCTAGTTTTTTTTCACCATGTGGGAGATATCGTGGACCACCTGTCAACATTTCCCAATATCTCTGACTCAAACTTACAAGTCAGAGGTTGATGTGAATGGGTTTTCCCACTCAGCTGTTGGTAATTATAGTTGGAATGATATGACGCAAACTCAGAATTCAAGAATTTATAACAGAAAGTCTATGTTATAAACCGGTGAAATGGAGTCTGAAAGACGTGGGTGTTTACCAGGCAAGAAGGGTCTAACGAAAGATGGTACGAATTGCACTATGGGTAATGGTAGGATCCAGCATTTTTGGAGTTTGATGCATTCTATGGACTAAAAGTCAGGATTCCATTTGCCCAGCAAGCAGTGTAAACGCCAGGAAGTCACTTTGACCAAGAAATAGTCTCTCTATAAAACAGTGATTTGTGACTTTTACACTTTGGTTTTTGTACGGATTAAACAAACAACATGCTAATTAGTCAGCTGAAGGTGTTGGTAAAGTGAATTCTGCTATCTTTTCAGTCAGTTTCCAGTGTTTGTGCTAAGCTAAGTTAGCTGGTGGCAGCTTAATATTTGGTGTACAGACACGAGAGTGGTGTTAATCTTGTCTAACACTCAAGATATTCATATGCTCATGCTTAAACAAGTGACCTATAATTATGAAGTAAGTATTTCCCTAAGTTTCTGGCTTTTCCTTGAAGTTTAGATTACTGACTGTTGCTTATTTTTCCTCACATCCATATCCCTCTTCTAGTTGAGACTTGGACATTCAGGATGTAGAAGAGATTATTAAATTCCTCACGTTCAGTGAAAAGCACCTCGTTCCCTGTGATAGGCCCTTTGCTTCCTGCTCCATTCAGACATAATCCCTGACTTTGTAGCAACTCTTAAAAGGACGGATCACATGCTGGTGGTATTGTGACACCGGGGGGGGGGGCCTCTTATCAGTGGGACATGATGACAGTCATCTACAGTACAAGTGACCACTCAAACTCAGGCGTTCAGGCCTCACATCCTCACAGATCAACCATATGATGGCGAAGCCCCCCCACCTCCCACCCCCTCTAAGCCTGCACGCTCCACTCTCCATCCGGATATCATTATAGTCCCTAATCGCGGCCACATTTGTGTCGCCTGGCCACCGAGACAGAAACAGACGTAGCAGGCAGTTTCCACTCCTGTTATGGCTGTCCCAGTCCCGTTCTAACTGCGACTATCTGCCTGAGCAGTAAAGCAGAGCAGAAGCACTACTTGTGTTTATTGTGTGTTGAACATACCAGCTTTGCCAAAAGACCCCTGACTGTCTCCAAGAGGACACACAGAGCGAGAAAGAGAGAGGGAGAGAGGGAAGGGGGTCTTGTGCAGCAAGACACACGGCGCTCATCTAAATTATTGCAACAGTTAAAAATAGGCCAACAATACAAACCAGGATTATATAAGTATTAATCACCTGGACACAAAGCTTCCAAGCCTTTGTACTCTGTGACTCATTCGCTTTCTCTGGAATTTCTCAATGATTTAATCACAGTTTATTTGTAATGTATTTGCATAAGACAGCAAAGGGATAACACAATAGCAAATAGGATAACATATGCTTTTGGCTCTCTTGGGAAATTAACATTCATAGCATTATTTACAAAGGATGCGTTTTTAATCTAAATCCATCTGTAAAACAGAGGCAAATTCAATTGTTGCCCTGCGTCCCATAACAAAGAAAATGTAGAACTAGAAGAGCTTCTCTGTGGTTAAATATAAAGTGCACATCAAATACATTGGTAAGTGGGACCTGACACATGAGAATTATTTCAGGTGGGTGGGATAAGGGGGGTGCTAACTGTCCCCCCTCAATTTTTTTTTTTTTTTTTTTTTTTTTTTTAACCCTCTGGTCGTTTAAAACCTCAAGAGAAATCATCAAGGGGCATTTATTCATGCACCAGCGCTTGCACCTGCCACTTACTCTGGGCAAGATGGATGGATAGGGGAGACCCCCCACCCCCCAACACCATTAATCTTCATAAGCACATGACACACATTGCTGTGCTGAACATCTCACTTTGAAATGATGTGTAAAAAAAACAAAAAAAAAAACAATATAATGTCAGCACACGTTCAGAAAATTCCAGTGCACAGGCAAAATAAAGTTAAGATGGAGATGAAAAGACATTTTATAAGCACAGACATGAACTGTGGCAAAGTAGGGATTTTAGGTGTGATGGCGAAAAAGTGCAACAGACTGGCTTCAAGTTTGAAATCAAGTCTATCAAATGGTGGAAGTTATGTACAGACCATTTTTTGGCCTTTTTTCATCAGATAAATGTCTACCTTTACAAACGAATCCAATCAAATTAATAATTTTAAGGTGTAGCACAAAAATCATGTGAGACAATAGTTTTAAATAATGTGTAAATGTAAGTACATGAAACGGAAGTAAATGATTAAATTTAGTCAGGTGTGCATCATAAGTTTTGCAGCACTTGTATACATATTTTATTTTACAGATGTTTAACTTCCATGGTGGTTGGAAGTGAAACAGACTCGAGCATTAAGATGTCACTCACCACCACGATGAATCCACTCTCGGTGTGAAAATGAGCAGAAGCAGAATAAAAATGAAGTATATCTTAGAGATGGGTTTGGAGTGATGTTGTATTCTTGTCCCATGTCTGATCCCCATAGCCCTGCTGCTGTCTGATACGCCTCCAGATCTCATCAGACAAAACATGTTTCTGCCTTTCATGTATTGGCAAAGGCTGCACAATCAGGTGTGAAAGTCCTTGATGACTGTCCTCCGTCCATCACTGGGGAACGAAAAAAACTTCCCATGGAGGAAAAGTGGTCTTAAACTCCATCAGTGATCTGTTAGTGTGATAATGCCGTGCAGAATTTCTCTCTGTAGATCCATTATCTTCACTGGCGTCGGAGATTGTACGTGCACTGAGTGAGCTGGGTGAGTCCTCCGCCTCAGATGTCTGTTTTTTTTTTTTCTAACAGTCTTGTATATGAGCATTAAATTCACCTTTCCTCTTCAGCTGTTGCGCACCGAGTTTAAAGTCACTGACGCCGCAGGAAGTTGTAATGTACAACATAAGACAGATGTGAAAGTGGTAAAAGTCACTGAAATCAGATGAGTCGAATGGACGAACTATTTCCGAGGATGGGACAGACACTGTGCGCACCTTTCCTCCTGAAGCCGGAATAAAGATGCGCCCCCGAAGCACGCAGCGCTGCGCGCCGGTGCGTCAGCTGTCCGTGACCCTACCCCCACCTCCCCCTTTGTCAGAAAATTATAAACAGCGGTATGTAGACCTACAGACAGCAGGACAGGAGCTGTGTATATTTAGTTTGATGGAAAGTAATCCCTGCCAGTTTCAAATCAACGCATTCACCGCTTTACCACCTAAGAACAACACAGCTCTGCCCAATAACATTCCTTTAATACTGAGAGAAATAAGAGGAGTTTGTGCCTGCACTCAGTTATCATATATTGCTGCAACAATTAATCATCAATCCATTGGTCCATTAGCAGAAAATGAATTGACAACTATTCAGATAATCGGTTAATTGATTTGTAAGTTTTTGACATTTGCTATGAAGAATTGTCTCCTATGAGGATTTGATGCTCATCAATATCAACTTCTGGTATTTTTTGACTAAATTATTAATTTATCAAAAAAGTGATCAGGAGATTAATGAAGAATGAAAATAGTTAGTACTTTATTGTATTACAGTCTAATAGCACTGTTCAATAAAATTTCACTAGGGACTTGTGGTCTTTGTTGTACCTTGACATTTGTAGAGTTCAGTTTATTATTATTTATGAGTATGTAGCTTTAAAAATACCAAAACACTTTTGGTTAATTTCTGTTAAAAGTAGTTTTATTTTCATAACAGAAACTTTAAAATCCCTGTGTTCAAAACAATGTAGGACTTATGCAACTGAGGCAAAAAGTCTCCTGTGGCCAATGTGTTCAATCACTCATTTATTCACAAAGATTAATAATAGTATTAATAAGGAAGAAAACACAGGTTGGTCCTCACTGTTGTCTGTTCGTGTCATTAGTGCAGAGGGGAAAGTTTTGCTCGGGAACCTCCAGCTATATGTGGTCAAGCTTTCGTGCTTTGACACATCATTAAACAGGAACTTAGTGTCTCCATAGAGATGGGTAATCCTTGCCAGGGGGCATTTTAGACATTGTTTCATATGTCTGCTGCTCCTGTGTGATTGGTCTCAGTCCAATGCCCTCCTTCCAGAACTAAACACTTAAAAACATCTCGGCTTTTGCATTGAACTCTCATAACACCTGATTTCTTTGATTTTCACTGATATAATTTCAGGCTCAAGAAACCCATTCACCAGTAGTTTCACAATCATTAAAATGCACTGGTTTCATTTCAAAAATTAAACTTGTTTCCTGAAGAACAGTTAAGTTTATTTCTGTAGCCCAAAATCACAAATCATAAATTTGCCTGAAGGGGCTTAACAATCTGTACAGCAGACAAAACCCTCTATCCTTGGACCCTCGGTTTAGACCGGAAAAACCCGCCCGTGGGGGAAAGATGAAACCTTAGGAAGAGCAACAAAGGGGAGATCCCTCCTTCAGCATGGACTGAAAAACAGTAAATGTCAAATTTACAAAGAAGCTAGAAATAAGAATTGTAACATTGGAGAAACACAATGGCAATATTTGGTAAATAGATTTGTAACGTATATGAAAAATATGTTGTTTTGGTGGAACCTGGGTTATTATTCTCATAGAGGTGGAAGAGACAAGAGGTGAGGGTGAGTGTCCTGAAGAATCAATGTTCAAGACGTCTGGAATGAGGCACCAGAAGGTGGCAGAGTCCTATTTCTGAGCTCAGAATGGAGCAGCACTGGAGTTAAGATGCATTCATGGCAAATATTTTGACATAAAAGACAAAACTAATGAACTCCCTCTAGTAAGTGTGGAGAAAACACTTCAGCCTTTGGAATTCATTTCCCTCAGGTGAGCAGCATAGAAGGAGCATCTTATTTGCTCAGTGGTTGACTTTTGACATTGCTCTGTCATGGTTTAGTTTGCAGCCTAATACAGGCGTTCACTGGAATATGATTAATATGTTTTTTTAAAAAGTTGCCTTTATGCCCAGTGACTTGGGGTGGGAGAGTAAATATCTTTCTCCCAGCGCCGAGCGCTTGAACCTCCCCTGTAATGCTAGTGGAGTGCATGTTTGTAGTTCAGCTCATATCAACAGTCTTGATCCAGAAACAGGTTTGTCTCATCGAGCCAGTGTGGAAACATCTGACCCACCTCAAGGGCATTTCTGGCTTGTATCCCTGCGACTTGAGTGATTTACTTGGCGCTGAGTTTGTCTAGCAGGTAGAGAAAGGCACTGGCGAGACGACATGTGCATAAGAGAGTGTGAGGTCATTTTAATCAGTGCAAATCCAGGGGTGTTAGTTAGGGACCTAAGTAAAGGTCAATAACAATGCAGCTGCCTAGAAATGCCACGGCACAGACTGTGTGTGTGTGTGTGTGTGTGTGTGTGTGTGTGTGTGTGTGTGTTTGTCATCTGTGAGGTCAGTTTCCAAATTGCATCGTTTTCTAAGCAAAGCAAATACTTTTTTAAAAATCGTTTTCTCCAAACAACATTTTCTACTTAACAATATAGATTCAAACGCTTCAGGCTTCAAATCTGTGTCCTTTCCCCTCTCACTCTATATCACACACATAGCCCAGCTGTTTGTCCTTCAGTTATGTCATATCTGCATTTGGAGCGACACTCGGATCCTCATTACATGTGACCCTGTCTTTCTTTACCCTAGGACAAGCTATGGATTTTACAGTGACAACTCTATAACAAATTGCTTTACAGGGAGCAGGTGATGGTGGCGATAACACTCGTCATCCGGCCCTCCCTCTCCTTCTGTCTCGCTTTGAGCCAGCTCCAGCTGTGGTCTTAAAGAGGCTCAGTGTGGGGGCCTGAGCTCCTATTCTAGGACCATCTCATGGTCTGGGCTAAATTTGGATGGAGAAAAACAGGACGAGAGGGAGGAAAAGAAGAAGAGAGCAAGAGAATAAGAAAGAGATTTGGGCCACTACATGCTGCGGCACAGATGAGTGCTCAGATGTCGATGAATGTTGTTTGGTGTGGAGCCAGTGCAGTGATAGCAGTCGTCACAGATGAAGACACAGAAAATGGAAGACGAGACGAACGTAGTTTGCTTTCTTGCAGCGGGTTGTAAATTTGTGTGTTACGTGCTCCTTCCTTGACCTCACTTTTGTCATCTCATTCACACAACATGACACTGCAGCCGTGAGACCATGAGTCTTATTGTATTTCTGCCATTGTGCACCACACAGTCATAAAGTACAGCTCTTTACCAGATCTGCCCAGGAGGAGCAATGTGGCTGCAGCAATCCTTTTCAAGTTCAACTTCAAGTTCATGTATTTATATAGTTCTTTATCACAAGCATGTCTCACAGAACCCAACAGAGAGGATCCAACGGATTTGCATCAGTCTAAGAACAAATTGCATTCAGTCCAACAAAAAACAGGATTTGCCAACTTTCTGAGGCTGGGTGCTTAAAAAGAAATGTAACCTACTTCTCTGAGATTTATTCTTATGCAAAAAAACGTAATTATTACCCCTCTTGTCATGTGGAATCCTAACGGAAGGTGAGCCAAGATCCATTTTGGGGTCACGACTGGAATAGAAGCTGGAATAAAATTTTTAGAAAGGCATCATTTTTTATCCAAGTCATGCAGCCCAAAGCCTGAAGTCAGAGTCTGAATATTAAGTGAGGGTTTGAATATTAATGCATGCAAAGACATTTCAGGTAAATGCAGATGTGTAAGACGAGCTTTGAAAGCAAGGCAGAAGTCCTACTCAGAAAAATCCAAAAAATATTTTTTTGTACTGTGCAAGCTGTGATTGACATTTATTTTACTAAATGCCAATGGTTTTAGGATTTCTCACAACAATAATACAAGGTTTTAAAATATAGATCTTTACGTCTTCTGCTGATTGTCGTGGAGTACAGTATAGTGCAGATGAGCGAGCGGCCATACTGGCAGTGACAGCAGTGAGGACATGGCCCCTCACAGCTCATCAACCTGAGCTTGTGTTTATGGAGGCTGAGAAAGATTGGGCTTTGCTGGAGGACCAGGCGTGCCTGTGCTGGATTTGGGATGCGGCCCTGCTGTCCTACGCTGGAATGTTAATTAGGTGAGCTGAGCAGAGGAGAGGTGACCCGTCCCGTTAACCAGCCAACCCTTCCCCAACAACCAGGTGGGGGGATTTAGTGTGACGGAAAGCCAAGTCAGCGTGCGCTCTGCATATGTCTGCTGGTGTGGATGTCAGGGCACATTGACGGACTGAGAGTGTGAGTGAGACACTGTATACAGTATATTGTGGCACTGTAGCACACACAGAAGATATCTGTCAAGTAATCAGCTGGATTTTCTGTCCACTTTCGCAATTGCAGTCTCATCACCACCACCACCCACTTTCTCTCTCTGAAGTTGCATCACTTAGACAACATACCACAAGAACAGTGTTTATAGTTGAAGCAACACAGGGCGCAAAATAAACAGTTCAGTCCCACTTAAAGGTTTCTTAACTTCTTTGCAACTAAGGAGCAGGAGGTAAGACTCCAACACAGTCAGTCACCATAGAACGAAACACAGATATGAAACACTGACTCATGAAATACACAGTGCATATGCGTGCCACTAAATATGCATCCACAGGACAGTAGAATAGGCCAGAGTTAAGTACTAACTCAATCACTTATGTTTACATATGCAGTAAGAAGTCTTTGTAACCTTTTTATAGTGTCTTTACGCATTTAAAAAAAACTGTTGTTACTAAGATACTCAGGTTTTGCCTTTCTGAAGCTCTGTATGAAACTTAACGTACAAACAATAACTGTTCTCAAAATGTTAGGACACCTACATTTACAGACATAACCACTGTGCTTAAGCTGTTGCATTTTATGGTGCTCAAGTCCACATTGACGCAATCCGCTAAATCCTGTTTGTTGTATGTATAGATTGTAGAGAAACAGTAGTACATGTTAAATACCTGAGTAGTCTGTTCATTGATCATTGTATTCCCCAGTCTGCTGGAAGCGACTTATTGTAGTTACTGATTTAATAGTGACCTCTAGAGGACACTCTGTGGCTGTACAGTGCTGAAAAAACTAATAAGCATATCAGCAGCCTGTTCACTTTTTATTCAAATGCATTTATATTTTTAGAATTTATGATACTTATACTTTCCTGTCTCAGCCAAAACCCTCCAAACCTTTTTTTAAAAAAATGTCTTGTTTACAGAATATATGATGATTTAACATAACATCAGATATTATTGGATGGTATCACTATAGGTATACATAGGTTACTGATACTGATACTGTTTGGATTAATACTTCCTACACTGTCAAATGGCTAATATTATCCCTGCACGAGTATAGATACATAAATGATGAATACATGACAACCTTTGGGATTCATTTATTAAATCTTCATCAATCATATACAATACTGTAAAGGATCTGATAAAAGAAGAGATAACAAACACAGCAGTTGTGTTATGATATAAATCGAAGCCATGGTGGACTATAAGATATTTGCAGTGTTTTACAATGGTTCCTCATAAACGACAAAGGCAGGACATTGATCAGACTCGCTAATCTCAAAGAGAAAATATTGTACAATGGTGACTGCATGTAATCTGAGCCTATAAGATCTTTATCATAATTATGCAACATTAAACTTATATATGAAAAATGTGCAGTACAACACTGATTAGGTTATCTGTTGTATAAAACTATTACACATTAATAACTAAGAAACATTAATAAAATAAACTATACATTTTTATAAAAACGACAGCTACATATGACTTTTCAATGAAATGAGACTATGTAGCGTACATTGGTCCAAGGATGACTCATTAAATTTGGTCTGAAGATTATTTGTTACAATATTAACATACATGCTCGAGACAAAGTATATGGGGACAAAAACACCTCGTCAGTTGATAAGTTGGCTTGTATCTTTGGAAATATGACACTTGATAAAAAGACTTGATACACTGCAACAGTATGCTGTGCCCAACACAGTATTGGCACATTTTGAAACTTAAACTATCAGTTGTAACTGCTCATTAGTACCAGCCCGTTAACCACTACCTAAAATAGTGCCTCAACGCATATTAAAAAAAATCTAATAAATACAAATAGCATAACAGTGTTTGAGGGGACCTCTGGTCAAATAAGCATAGTCATGTACAAGACAATATCTCAATCTCAATCATGAGATGTGGATTAAACTGTGATGTCACAAGCAGAGCAGCATCTGACGAACTTATTGTGATCACTTAATTAGATGAAACCACCACGTCCAGTTCTTTGACTCCCTCCTGGCTGGAGGTGAGGCCACAGCTGCCTGAGAGGGGGCTGTCAGAGAAATGGCTGGCAGACCTGGGCACCGCAGCCGGAGAGGGAGGAGCCTGCGCCAGACCAGGCTTCTTGGGGGGGATGGGTGGAGGATTGCCCCTGTCTGCCCTGGGGATGGTGGGTGATCTGATCCCCTGTGGAAGAGCCGCTGCGGCCCTTCCGATGATGGGAGACAAGGGCGCCGCAAGGCTGCGGTAGTCTGTTCCAAAGGGGGAATTGTTTGGTGTCACAAGCTTCGGTGTGGCGCTCTGCTGGACGGTGGTGAAGCGAGACAGGACTTGAGTGACTGTGCTCCGGGCCATCTGCTTGACTGGGCTGGCTTCTTGGGAGGAGGTGCTGGTCACAGGGGAGAGGTCCTTTGGTGAGAGAGGGAGAGCAGGCGGCGTGGCCTGGGACTGAGGTTCCGGGTCAGTGGTACCCTGGAACTTATGGCGAGCAGCGTGGAAGCGCTGGTTGATCCCGGCTTGGTAGGGAGACTGGTAGCTACCAGGATTCGGGCTGCCTGGTGGGCGTTTGGCAAGAACAGGCGAGGCACAGGGGGAGGGAGGAGGGAGAGTGGAGGGGGCGGCATTGCAGGAGGAGATTGACATCTGGGTCTGATGAACTGGAGGATTTTCATTCCCATTCTGTAGGCAAATCTTCTCTGAGAGGACGTTGTTTGGACCATGGTGCCCGTTGGTCTCCAGGGGACAGTGGTGACCGTTGACTTTTGGTTGCGCAGGTGGCTGGTTACTGTCTTCCTCAATGTCCTCCACCTTCATAGTGTCTAGTGTGGTCTTTCCCAGAGGAACTTTTGTGGCCCACTCCTTTCCTGCTGCCTCTGCTGGAGCTGTAGCTCTCGTCATATTCACCTCCTCCAGGTTCCTCTTCAGCTCTTCTACCTGATCATAAAATGGGGGGAAAAAAAGATCAATTTCAAGCAGAAATTTGTGCAATGCCAGCTAATCTTGTCTTGCACTAACATTAGATGAAACAACTTGAGGTAGTTCTAATGTGCCAACTGCTTCCAGCAGAGTGATGAACAAATCAAAGTGTTCACACCTGCTGCTGTAGCTGACAACAGTGAGCTTCCTCCTTCTTCAAACGTGAGCGGAGTTGCTCTCGCTCTGTGTCAAACTCAGCAAGCTGCTCCTCCACCCTTGCCTCCATCCTAAGGGCTCGCCTCCTCTCATCCTCTAGCTCCTTCTTCAGGGCCTGACAAGCCTCCTTTTCCTAAAAGAGAAAAAGTTTTTTTTTTTTTTACAAAGTGGGCAAAATCTGACTGACTAAGCCTAAAATTTATACAACAGAGATAAAGTATTCCAAGAGAGAGAAAATGAAATAAATTGCCTAACTTGGATTCAGAATGTTAATAACCTTGTCCAGTTTGCGGCTCAGCTCAGTCAGCCGGTGACCCTCCTCCAGAGCTCTGGCACTTGCCCACTTGCATTCTTTGGCCAAAGCGCAGGAGAGCTGCTTGTGCTGGGCCCGTTCTTCTTCTAGCTGGTCAGTAATCCGCCGCTGTTCTTTCTCCAACCGCCGGACCTGGCTGCGCTCGAATTCCAGCTAAAAAGGACAGAGACAAGACGCACAATAAACAAACTCGTCAGAGGCTGGTTATAGTTTACTTCAGAACTCTGCCAATCTCTCATTGACTCCTATTAGATTTACACAGTGCATTAAAAAATAAACAAAAAAAAAAGAAAACACTTGCAGTGCAATCCATGCTGCTATTAATTAGAGGGCACCTGTTGTTGTAAGCGCTCCCTCTCCTTCTCCAGGATGTAAGTGACATCATCTCCCTCTGCTGTGTCCTCAGCGTGCCTCCTCTTTTCCTCCTCCAGATCTGCAATGACCTGAAGCAAACACAGCGGGGAGACAGAGAGTCAAGAACGAAATGATCTCTCTTAAGTTTGGCCTGTTTGGTATTAAGGCCAATAACAGTTACTTTGAAGCAATGCAAATGACTGCGCTGTAAGCAAAGATGCTGGTGGCAACTTAGCTAAACAACTACATATTTCTTTTTTCTGTGGTTTTACATAGTCTACAGTGATAGAGTGCTTTGTCTTTGTTCAATTTTAAAAGAGCCAATGGAAATGTTTAGCTCAACAATATTTAAATATTAGTCTTATTTGAGGCCTAAATTAGTTTTTTATGAGTTTTTATTATATTTAACACCGTCGGGTTTACCTTCTACTTCTATTTTATCAGTGTGACATGCTTTTGTGTCATGTGTGATTCATAATGAAATCAGGAGAGTATGAGATGTTGCATTTCCTCATGTTGTGTTCTCAAGCTCACCTAATGCTCACGTGAAACAAAAGAAAAACTGGCAATCTGACGTCAGTTTGCAGCTATTTTCTTTCTTTTTTCCCTCTTTTGTTCGTGTTTGTTAGTCAGTACCTGTGAAGTCCTTTTGGAAGTGTGTGTGCCTCTTTAGAAATAGTTCATAATGAAAACAATGCTGCTCATAATTTTGTTTCTGGTGTACCTGAAAAACATTTTGGAAACAAGGTTGTGATCAAGAGGGTTGGTTTAACCTATGTTTCAAGATTCTATTGCCATCAGTGTTTGGTTTTTAATTTTCTTATCATCTTTAATTTTTAGAATAAATGTCCGCAAATTGGTAGCAGAATTGCACTTCAGTTGCTGCCTCCCCAGCTTATGTCTTTTGTTCTTCTCTACCACTGAGACCTACTTTTATTTTGCATGTTTCTCATGTTCTTTTTATTATCATTTTTTTTAAAACATATCTAAGGAACCTACTCATTTCTTCCTCCCCTAATTAAGAAACTCGTATCCAGACTCACCCTTCTGTGCCTGCTCTCTGCTGCAGCCAGCTGGGCCAGCATCTTCTCTTGCATCCTCCTGCAGTGGCTCACCACCAGTTTGAGAACCACCAGAGGGTTGGAGACAGAGGAAGAGGAACAGCCAGGATCCTTGTTTTGTCCTCCCATAGCCTCGCTGTCTCTCTGCAAGGCCAGGAAGGGGTCGCTGAGGTTGTACTTGCCGTAGCGCTCCTGTATAAACAGCTCTTTACGCTGGGCCTAAAGAGATGAGAAGAAGCAGTGATCAGTTAGCTGTGTGGTAGGAAATGTTGATGAGCGGAATAGAGTGGCGATTACGCTTTTGCATAAATTTCCTTTTTCACAACAGGTTTGTAACTAGTCTCTGCCATTACTGAACACTGATTCTTCTGTGTTTTTAGAGATGCATTTTTAGCCATGTTCCCGGTGTAGCAAGTATTGAATGGATGGCCATCAAACTTGGTGCAGATATTAATTTGAGGGTGAATTGTAGTGACTGAGGTGATCCCCTGACATGTGGTTAATGAATGAATGAAAATTCTTGACAACCAGTGGATGGATTCTCATTAAACTGGGCATGTTTGCATGGTGTTAGATTTTAGCAAAGCACCTCTGTGCCTGAGTACAGCCCGGAGATACTAGCATGGTTGTAGACCTTTTAGTCTTGGTCTTGTTCTCTACTTAGTCTTCCCTCTGCCTCGAACTGCAAACTAGGAATAGCACCTGTGTATAATGGCTCTCAAAGATTCAATATACAATGAACCTTTCAACTTGAGCTGCAATTAAAGCAAGCATTATCATTCTATCAGACTCTGAACTTTAAAGATAATTTAATTAAAACAGGAAACTGAATACTGCGTTCAACACACCATGATCAATATCTCTAATGCTAGAGTGCTAAATAAGCAGTAAGATAAAGGAAGGGGAAAAGAGAGGAAATGCATGGGGAAAAAAAAAAAAACAAGAGAAAGAGTGCTAGCAGGAGGAAGGAGCAACAGATGGTGTGTGTCTGTCTATCTTTAGCAGGACAGCTGCTCTGGACTGGGCCTTGGCCAAGGCAGACCTGTTCTCTGTTTAACTCACGACAAAGGAGGGATAATAGCAGCAAGACATTTCAGGTTCAGCAGATACCTTTGGGCTTTGCCATGGAAAGAGGGTGAAGTGAGGGGGAGAGAGAGAGAAAAGAGGGAGAGAGAGAGAGGAGGGCTGAAGCTGAGCTGGCAATGTGTCTTAGTGAGGTTTCAACAAAAGAGGATCAAGAGATTAGAGAGAACGGTATCTTCTCTGGCAGGGTGAGGACAGAACTCTTGACGACTGATACCGAGATTACTCTACAAGTTTAAAGTGTAGTCAAGAGCGTGGGTGGGCCTGCAGAGCAATATTTAGCCATTTGGCTGTTCGTACAGAGCCCTCAAGTGCTGACTGTGTGAGCTGGGGTATTACAGATGAGCACACAGGTATACCATCACCCCTCCCAAACAGAACTATATTGGACGAGAACTATAGCTATTTTAACTAAGGACTCATTGATTTAACATTTTCTATACCGGGACTTTCTTTTCCAAAATATAGAATCTGTATACCTTGCTGTGTGGACCTTATTAAAACATTTTCACGTAAGATAACATGAGGTTTGGGGTTGCTGTGGCAACCTGCTGTGACTGTGGATCCCTCAGATCGTGGCTGATGGCTGCACAGCTTAATAAGATACAAACCTGATCAGTGCATCCCCAAGTTTATGAAGACAAATAATTTTACAATTTAATAAGAATTTCTTAGAGCTGCATGTAACTGATTTAAAAGTCCAACATTTGCAGCAGTAATGGAGATATTATGACATGACATTTAATGTACAGTTACGCACAATGACAGATTTATTTGTAGCAACTGGAAGCAGCACTTTGAAAGAAACATGAGCCAAAACACTTTCAATCTATAATCATACTGATTACAAATCTATAGAACGGAACAGGCCTTATCAAAACAAATTAAAATTGTAGTTACAAATTCTATGAAAGTGATTTCGGCCCAGTTGTTTACCGGAGAGATGATGGACTGACTTAAGACAGAGCAACACTCTGAACGAGAGTTCACAGGCTTCGTGATTTGTCATTTCTCTGCATCTTCAGTATTGGCTCATCAGGCACAAAGAGAGGATGGCAGGACTGCGAGGCTTTGCTGCTGTTATTTGATCCAGTCCGCTGAGGACGGTGTGAGGGCGGATCAAACAGCATGAAGGGGCGAAACAGGAAAACACAGGGTGCCCAGGAGAATTCAAAAATGCCTCTCAAATGTAGGGATATATCTAAAGCACAGTCACCACTCAACACCTCAACAAGAGTTTTGTGTGTGATTCAGCGTGTCTTTTGAATGTTGTCCTGTGTGTATACAGCACAGGTTTGACATCTGATTGACTTAAAAAAAACGTGACATTTGTCAGCATACTTATGACTGATCTATGCAAATGCTAAAGTTAAAAATAGAATACCTTGAGCAAGATTATACACTGTCCTTCACTTTGTTAGGATTATTCTAATTTTTTTTTTCTAAAACGCAGATATCTAATTTTGAAGGCAAGTCTTCAAAGAGAAATCTGTCTACTGCCTTGGCCTACAGCCCATCCCTGTTCCCATCAGTGACTGTCTGCTCTGATGTGTCACTTTACAGTCAGAGATTAAATAAGCTTAGATCAGGGTTTCCATTCTTGACACTTGTGTTGCTCAAGGATATACACTCAGCCTGACTCTCAGGCAACAGGAAAAAAAAACACTTAATTTGTAAGCCATTGTTCAGACAGGGGAATGCAAGATTTTTTTTTAACTTAAAGAAGTTTCTAGAAGAACTGTTTTCCTAATTTTTGATTTATTCCGTCTGTGCACATTTTCGCAACTGGATAATTGGCCTTTAAATTGTCTAGGGTTTTTTTTTTCTAATTCACAGGACCCCTATTACACAAGTTCACTCATAAACACAGAGTCTGCCTCTCTTTCGATCCCCAGCCCCTCAATCCACACACAGACGTGCACGTCCACAACACAAAGAGAGGCTGTTTTCCCTCTGCATCAATCCTCCACTGCTGCACAGAGGGTGGAGGAAGTGAAAAGAGGGATTACAGAAAACGCATTTTTAGCGTTAGTTAATACTTAACACCCAAATCTACAAGAGCTTATTCATTAGATTATACTGTACATGTGCAATACGCATAAACATTCAGTACATGGCTGTTATGCATCACAGTCTACCTCCATTATTCATGCTTTTGTCTGCTGGCTACAGTTCTTGGCAACCTGTGTGCTTTTGCTAGGGAAGCCGTCTTTGTGCCATGGCTGCGCTGGTTCCAATGTGGCTTATCTTTTGCTGACACATGCCTGGACTCTTTCAGTCGTGCAATGTTGGCGACAAGATCTGTATTGTACTGAGGGAAGATGTTATATGAACTTCCTACCCCAGAGTCCTATGTATTTCAGAGCTGTTTACTACGCAGATTGCTAAATAGTCTGAAAAGCACATGCATGTAGTGAAAATGATGTACTATCCATCATAAAAACGTGTGTGTGGGTGAAATGCAATGAATGCTACAGTAACAGACAGCGAGCACAATCAGTTGATGCATCTCAAAGCCAGAAACAAAGTTATTTTCTGTATTTCAATGCTGCTCCATTACCAAAGAACACACAAGGTAAACCTGTTTGATGTTCGTCCATTTGGAACCACACCACGTGAACTCGACAGTTAATTAAAGGCTCATTTCCATATTTGAGTCGCCTTTGAACTTAAAGTACGGACTCGTATTCTTTACCCAAAGCAAAAGGGACTACTGGATCACTGCAAGTCTTTGTGTGCCAAATACAAGTATTGCCAGAGACTAACTTCCTTTTGAAAGCCACAGCGTGAGCAGCTGCAGAAGTGAGTCACAAGGGGGGAAAAAATGTAGCGGATACTTAGAATGCCATTGATAGTTCTGCATAATTAAATATAGAGGACCATACAAAAACCACATCATTAACCTCACATCCTGTGCTTACACTATATCCTGAAGAAAATCACTGATAAGAATGTTACAGGTTTTTAAAAAAAAAAAAATGCTGACCAAGGAGACGACACATGAAATCTTGCCAGTTCTTCTACTTTACCAGATGAGGCATGCAAAGCAAAGAAGTGAGCAGTTCATCATGTGAGGGACAGTTTATTAAAAGAAGTGTCATGCATGGTATTATTACCATGGTGATTTGTGTTTGAGTTAAACACTTCTTGCATGACACTCAGTTTAGCAGTGACACGTCAGTTAAGACCAACATGAGCAGCTTGACTGGAGCTTCTTCTCTAATTACTGTAGATTCACATGCAGGCTTATTGTTGGAACAAGAGTCTGCAGCCACGCTAGCAGCTCTGTTAGGCTGTACTCAGCAGTGCTTTGAGAAAAAATGCTAATGTCTGCATGCTAACATGCTCAAAATGACAATACTAAAAGGCTGATGTTTAGCAGGTATGGTCATCCTCTTAATTTAGCATGTTAACATGCTAACTTTGGTACTTGGAACTAAACACAAAATACAGGCGAGGCTGGTGGAAATGACATTAGTTTTACAGCTATTAAGATTTTGACCAGATGATGGCGCTAGATGAGAAGTGAAAGGATCACCAAAGTTATAACAGTTCATCCCTAATGGGAAGCATGAACTCCTGAATCAAATTTTATCGCAAGCCATCCAATTGTTGCAGAGACATTTCTCTCAAAACCACCGATGTGAGCCACATGGTGGCGCTAAAGGAAAAAGTCAGGGAATCTCCAAAGCCAGTAGGATTCATCCTCTAGGGATTCTGAATGTCTGTATAAATGTTTGTGCCAATCCACCCAGTAGCTGATGAGATACTTCACTTGATGAAAGCTTTGAGTCAGTCACCAAAACTTCATCCTCTGGGGAGCTATGAATGTCTCTATGAACCATGGCAAACCATTCGGTAGTTGTTGAAACATTTTATTCAGGACCAAATTAGTGGACCAACTGGTAGATATCCATTTTAGCCTCGAGCATGGACAGAAGCAAAAGGAATTATGAGGTGATGTTTTACTGATAACAATCTACTTTCATGTGAGGGCGAGACTGCGAACTCCCCAACACTAATTCCTTAACAGCAGAAAGGTATGTGTCCTGCAGAGAAGAGATCACTTTTCACTCCCGCTCTGCAGTTCATTTCCTACAGGTCAGTGATTATACCATTTAATTAAAGCACTGTAAAGAGTTAACACTGCAGCACTGATCTGAACTGAGTCTTGAATGGGTTAACAGTTTGACCCGGTGGAGCCATGAAAGAAGCACAGCCATATTCCCCTCAAGCTCCAGTTAAGGCCAATGTTTATTTGTTCACTCCTACTCTCGCTCACATTGAGTCATCAGGCACCCAGCGTGCTGCAATTCTTCTTGCCTTAGATGGCCAGATCCCAGGAGAGATGTAGGAATGTGGTCTAGACACAACACATGAACATTCAGGAGTGGGCTCTCTTCAACGGCTGCTCTCTAGTTTGTTCTTTCAATGGTGCGTTTTACGCCAGAAAAGTGAACAGCATCCCAAGAGCGTAACGGCATGACAGAAATGCTGCATCATTTGTTTGCTTAGTCTCCACTTATCTTAAATTTGTGGTTTATTAACAGCATTACGGGAACACAATGTCACTGAAGTAAGTTTACAGCTCTTTTATTAAATGAAACATCCTTAAGGTGATGCAAGCGGTCACTGAGAGCTTGAATATGTGGGCCTGAAGGACACAGTGTGGGAAAATAGCCTGACAATCCTTTAATTGAACAACAGCATTAATCCTGCCAAAGTAATGCATCCTAAGGCTGAAAGTAGCTGCTGCTATGTATCGGTACTGTGTGTGTGTGTGTGTATGTGTGTATGTGTGTATGTGTGTGTGTGTGTGTGTGTGGCTTTTTCTAATTGGGTTTGTGTTCAGGTTCACTGGGGTGTGTCTACTCATTTCAGCTTATGAAAAGAATGACATATGTTATTATGAGACAATGTCACAAAAGATTCACCGCTCTCTGAGGTACAGAACACTAAGTTGGAGGGAATCAGAGGAATATTAGCTTTACAGTCACAGACAGATAGATTTGTCATCTCCAGACAGGGAATGAGTACTAATAACAGGGTTACTATCATTTTACCCAGTTTTTTTCCCCCTTGTTTTGTTGCCAGTTCTTTCTGTGCTTTAGGTCCAATAACACCAAAAACTGGCAGCCACCCTATAGCTCTATATATCCATCACAACCATATCTTAACCAACTCCTGTAGGCTTGAAAAGTGCCTGTTCAAAGTTGGTAGCTTGTAGTGAGTTTTCACAGCACCACACAAGCCTCTCACACCACCATCGGATTCTCTGCTGTCCATCAAAACATCATTTTTGTATATAACATATAGTAAGACCACATTTGTTCATGTTCGTCATGAGCGACGTGCATAAGAAGCTCTCCGTGTCATCTACAAACAGAAACACACAGTGTTGTAGCAATATGCGACATAAGTGGTTAGAGAGGTTTCTTCTGACACTTGATACGTTCTCCCTGCTGTAACGTGTCACCATTGAATTTCATTGTAACTGACATTAATTCAACCTGACCACAGCTGCTGTTCTCTATGACAGCCACATTTACAGCCTGGAGGGAGGTGGAGGGTGCTTTATTATAACAAGACAGATTTTGCACAAAGAGTAGCTTGAACGTTCTGTGTGTCACCAGCTCCACTCATATTTACCTTTAAGGCATCAATGACCAGGTCCCGGGCCTCCAGCTCTCCCTCCAGGATGCTGAAGAGCATCAGCAGCTCTGGCTTGCTCAAACTCTCCATGTTCAGCTTGGACTGTGAGGACAGGAGATGAAAGAAAAGAAGTTGGTTGATTGATTTCAGATTTTATTTCTAAAAAGTGATGCTAATGGGCATGTGTGGCAGTTCATATTATGCTTGTTCATAAAAAAATAAATACTTAAACTGGTGCTTAATTCATTCTACCACAATATTGTACAACTCCAAAAGAGGAAACCCTGAGAAAATACTAATCACTGCTTCTTGTTTTTTCCCACAATTTCTCAGTTATTTAATTTCATCTTGAAACAAAGCCGTATTTTCTAATCTCCCAGAATCACCCAGACAGACATCTGATCTATCTGATCCAGCCCAGTGATTTATGAGCTTTATATGGATATGTAGTCATTATCTTGGGAAGGAGAGCAGAACCACTGTACAAAATATTTTTTTTCCTCTGGTATGAAAACAAACCAGGCGGTCTACTTTGGATGTAGTTCAGAAGTGCATTGAATGCCTAACATATCTACTTAAGTGCTCCAGGTGTGTGGTGTAGCTCAAGCAAAAAGTGAGGATATAGTATCAAGAGAAATACAACTACTGTTTAAAAAAAAGAAAAAGTAAATAAATATTATGCAACAGCAACATTTACAACTGCAACAGTGCAACTGAGCTGTGAGGGCTATATTTTACATTAAAGTTGCTCGTTTCATTTCCCTTGTGGGTTTCGGGTATTTCAGTGAGGTGACACGAACATGGCAACAATGGAAGATGACGCGTTCATCAGGCACAGAGGAATCACATCTCAAATAAGAAACAATCAGCTTCCACCATAAACACTTAAAGCTGACAAACTTAACTTCTTAAATCTTAAATTGTTTTGTTTCCCTTTTGTGTGTCCCATTCATAAAGGGTGCCGTGACAGTTACTTTATGCTGGAAATGCGATGTGGTCTCTTTGTAGTGTCCCTACACTCTAATCTCACAGCTGTGTTGGTTCTGCTGACAAGCCCTGCGGTGTCCACACCTCAAACATCCAACCACACTCTGGCCAAGTGAACGTATGCGGGCCCCCCCTTTGAAATCCGATCAAAGCTGTTGATGTTTTTACACTAAGCATCCTTTTCATCATGTGGGACGTGTAGTGTAGATGAATGCCTCACTGGCCAACTATTTAACAGAAACTTACTCTAGCTTGACTCATTGAAAAATTTATTTTTTTGATATGTGGCAGAAAGCATCTGAAAAATCTCCCTCCTCTCTGCTGTTTACTAGACTGTGATCCACACCTGAACTAGCATTCATTCAACAGGCTCTGCTCTGAGCAGCCTGTGGTCACCACAACTTTCCACATCATGAAGTCATCAGGAGGGGGTGGGCTGCTCTCTCGTCCCTCTCTCTCTCTCTGGTTGCATAATGAGAGACAGGAGCCACCGGCCTTTTTATATCTGAGCTTGTAGCTACAATATTTCCCAGGCACCTTCAATAACATCAGTGGGAAACCAAACCTGAAAATGACCAGTGTCGTGAAACTTTCAAATACACTTACACTCATATAGCGAAATATTCAGAAGTGAGAAGAGGAATGAGCCACGTGAACTGCATCCACAGTCTAAATCCCCACAGCAGCGTGCTCTCACAAAGAAGGCACACAGCGTTTAGTTCGGCCCTCACCAGCACTCATGGTCTGTGGCTTAACCACAGGGGTAAAATGCTAATTAAACTACAGCACACACACCTCCCTTGGTTTTAGTTTACAGGCTTGCTTGCTAATTTCACAGGCCGCCGTAATCACTGTGAGAAGAGTGTGCGCTTGTGTTATGAGACATGTCTAGCGCTGGCGGGAATCTACATGTGTCATCAGGCTTGTTTAGATCCTCATCATTTTAATATTATTTCACCTAATCCCCTGAGTTAGAGCTGGTAATCATGAGGGTATACAAACAGGGAGCAACAGCATGGGAAATACAAATATTCCCACACGTTCTTGTAGCTCCACCTCCGATCAAAAAGCCCTGTGTCCATAATCATTTTCATCCATGTTTGTTTTAAGCCTGGTCAGCCATGTGCCTTCTCTGCAACACTGTAAACTCATTAAAAACACAGCAGCTTTTACTGCAAAAACATATGCTTTGCTCCAGTGCAATGAGGCCCGTGGTTTGTGAGGAGCTGCTTGATAATATAGTTTATAGGTCAACTGCTCATGTTGAATCACAGCAAAACTTGTAATATCAATATCCAGAGAATTTCAAATTATGATCTAAGTTATGAGTAAATTATAATCATTTTACGTATGTAATTGTTTGCACAATAGTCCAGTGCAGACAATTTCCTTGTCTCTGAAACTGTGACAAACTTTTTCAGTGCATGAAACTTTTTCCAAAACTGTCACTACATCACATCTTCCAGCTGGCAGACAATAAAAAAAAAACACAGCTTGTGCTTAAATTCATGTCACAGACTGTAAAACCTGCTTGCACCACAAACTTTACCTGAGATGAGGATCAGCTGAGGGGAAGTGCAGCCTGAGAGGTCTGCTGAATTTCCTTGTTCTGTTAATCAGGCTGGCTGACCAGATGCAGCATGTCTGGATACTAAATTGGATTTATTAGCCAACCCAATTTTTGTGTAAGCCACTTGCTTCCTCACTCAGCTTCCTACCTATGGGCTTTAACACAGCCTGGTCTTTAAAAAAAATGCAGTTTAAAAACATATAAAGTAAAATAATGGAGTGTTGAGCATGCTGAAGCCTTATTAGTTAAAAAACAAACAAACAACAACAACTGTAGCCGCTGTAAACTGATCCAATTAGCATTATCGTGAAGATCACACGGCATCAGTGTATGACTGAAAGAGATGACATGCAACTGTCCGCTTTTCTTCTTCGCTGGAAAGGATAAATCTCATTTTTGCACGGTCAAAACACATCTTCGTGTCATTTGATCTTAAGATGCAGTCCGAACGGTTCGGCCTGTAGCCTTGACTACTTCAGCTAACTACATCTTTTTTTTTCTCTTGTGTCTTAAGGCACGGCGAAACGATGCAAACGATCGTCTCTAACTTCACACCCGCCGACACCAAACCGTTTTCTGTAGGTCTTCTTACCTTCATGTGGCCCTCTGGGGTCTTTGAAAACTCCAGCATGAACTTTTCTCCTGTCAGAAGATTTGTTTCACTTGATTTGCGTCCTCTGATCCCGACGCAGCGGAGCACGGAACGGCCAAGCGCCGCTCTAACAGACAGCTAAACCAGCCAATAGGCGAAGGAGAGCTCAGAGCGCTGACCAATGAGAGACGAGCTTGTGGGGAAAGGGGGAGGGACAGTGGAGTCCCACCTCTTGGATTCTGGTTGGATTTCTTTGTTTAGTATTTCTTGAGTGCCTGCCTCTTAAAGAATCTCTCTCAGGCACGTAAAGACTTTCAGCAAACAATTTTAACTATACAAGTGAAGAAATTAGAAAACATGACTTATTTTGTGGCCCTTCACGGTGTCTTTATAGTGACGATAGAGCTAAAAACTACACGTTAAATAGACCAACCTGAGTTGTAAAAAAAAAAAAAAAAGATCTACGAAAACAATGCAAAATTGACTTATATGGATAAACAGAAGATACGGTCATTGACATTTGTGGGTCATTTATACAGTATAAAAAGGACATTCAGTGGATAGTGCAAAGCTGCCTGGTTCTATAGAGGTGTGATAACAGAAAGTATTGTTTTTTAATCACAATAACAACCTCAGCATATCCCCAACATTGTACTTTTGTACAATATTGTTCAGGTCATGCTGTCATCCTTTAATGATTATTTGATATTTTTGATACATTTGTGTGGTTTAAGGTTATACTGCTATAGTTGTGTAGTATTCTTTAAAACATAGCCTATATTATGCTGTGGTTGAGGAAGTGGTCACGTCCGTTACCTATGTAAAACTAGTAAGGCCACAGTGGAAATATACTCTGATACAAAAGTTAATTCACACTCATGACTAAGCAAATGCACATAAGTATTAGTAGTAAAATATACTCCCAAGAATAAAAGTAGAACTAGTCATTATGTAGAATGGCCCCTTCCAGAGTGTTGTATTTTTGATGCGTTAAAGTGTAAGCAGGAGTTTAATGTTATAAACTGGTCAAGATGGAGATAATTTTAACTGCCTTTTATACTGTTGTGTAGTTCAATCTATAACAATGAATCAGATTTTAGAATTTGGTCATTAATGTGTGTTAATCTGAAAAATAACTACAGCTATTAGATAAATGTAGCAGATTAATAAAAAAATATTTGCCTCTAAAGTTTAGCAAAGAAGTACAAAGTAGCACAAACTGAGAATCCTCAAACTATCTCAAAATTGTATGCATGTATGGCCATGCACAAACAAACAAAAAAAATGTGTCATGAAATAACTATAATTTATAGTATATAACAAACAAGATGTTATGCATAAAAGTGAGGCATTACACAGGAAAAAAAATCAATACTCCATAGGTCCATGGTCTTTTATCTCACAGTTGCAACGATGCAATGAAAGATGTCGTAAATGTTATTAATGTCACCACATAAACCATCTGTTGACCGTTTACATTAATTATTCCAACATTATTAGTTATTCCAGCAAAAGCGTCCCATGCATTGATTCCTGGATTTGAGGGATTACAGTATTATTGACTGCCATCTGGTGGCACTGTCACTGTAAAAGCCTGCAGAGCCGCATTGAGGCTGAGGTTTATTTTTGAAGGAAGTGGTAGAAATGTCAGCAGGTTTCTGAGTTAACCTGAAAAATTAAAATAAAGGTTTACAAAATCTAGATGAGCTAATATGAGATCTAGCTTCAACTCTGAAAAGCTGAAAGCTATTATACTAACATACCCGGTGTTTTTCTGTGATTTTAGAGACAGACTTCCCGTAACTCCTGTATCTTATTAGCACACAAGGTTGACTGTGGAGGTCTAACTCTATAGGGGGGAGGGGGGTACAGCTGTGTTGTTGTTTGTGTTGTTGTTGCCGGCTGTGAGGCATAGAGCTCCAGATGCCGTGTGACAAAAATCAGACGAGGTATTCACTGTGCTGTAGACCTGAAAATTCAAGGCTGCCTCAGACGCAAGCTGGAGCCCCTCCTGTAATACATAATAGCTGCCAGTAGAGCGCAATGCTCACACAACTCAAGGCAAAGTTACCAGTGGTCTTATTATATAGGGGAGTATAATGGATAATCCAACATGTTTACTATTAATAGTTGCATCTAATGTTGCAAATAAAGGTTATTTTACTGATGCACTGATAAGTGTCTTCAGATATGATTATCAACCACTTACTCAAGCTTACTTACTCATTAAAACATGACACCGTCATCTTGCTGCTGGAAGAGAGCAAAAACTCGTTGTGCACTTTGGTGTGTTAGACAGTAATTTGGCTTTAAGTTACAAAACATACCACCTTGCGTCAGCGCTAAATTAGCACAACACGCACAAATGAGCCTCCCGTCTATGACTATGTAGCATCTTTGTGCTATTTGACAATTGTGTTTCTTCCCCTCCCCCCTCCTTCTGCTATCTTGAGGGTATACAGAGAGCAAAGTCAGAGAATTTCCACTCCTGATAGGCTGCTGGTGCAGGGAGCCTCTTCAGCTCTAATAGAGAGTCTCTATTTCAGGCTCTTCAATTAAGCCGCTCTGCTCAGCCTGCTGACTGGCTGCTGTGGAGAATCTGTGTCCTCAGAGTCTTTGTCCTGTGTCCTGGCTCCCTTTTCCAAACAATTTACACTGCAAGGTTTTTCCTTTTTACTTTGGTTTGGCCCTAAAAAAAAATAGTCCAGATGGACTTTTCACCTGTAAATCCAGAAAGTTTGTAGAACTTTGTGCTAATTGTATTTTTATTTGAGTATTTCCACTTCTTCAGTTCAGAGAGAAATGTTACGCATTTTATACCCCACTACATTTATTTGACAGCTATATTCACTGGTTATTATACAGATTATCCAGATTTTACATATAAAACATATGACCAGCTCACAAAATATGATGCACTGTAGATTAAATTATCCAACGAGTATGTACACTGAATGTAGTATGTAGTGTATGTTAGCTCCACCTCAACAAACACAACAACAACAACACATACAACAGGAAAATGCATTGCATTATAAGTAGATGTTCTTTATTATTATTATTACTCACTATTACATACTTTTATTCTAGCCAGATTTTCAAAGTAGGACGTTTATTTGTAATGGAGAATTTTTATATTGCAGTATTGCTACTTTTACTTTATGTAAAGGATCTGAATATTTTATCCACCACTGCATAAATATCACCATATTCCTTTGTAGTTCCTTTTACTTTTTTGTGTATTTCTCACATTTATTAATATTGAAAACAAAATAACTTAACGTTTAAACCCTACAAACCCTCTTCAAAAGAAAGACCAATAAGTCAAAATCTCTGCTTTTCCACTCTAATCTCCCCCCCACATCCTCTTTCTTATCTCCACTGACAGAATTGTTGACTGGGGTGTTTTTGTCAAGTCCATAGCTCATTTTTCCAAAGGTGTCCAAGACTAAACAGAACATTGACATTTAGCTCAGCACAGAGGGGAAATTGTGGGAAAAAAAAAAAGTATCCAGTGACTTTCTGAATAGCTGCTTGAATGATGAACAATATTTCCGCTAAAGGTTATGGTGAGCTCAGATGGGGTCTCTTCACCTGTGTGAAAGCTGTTCCAGGTTTCATCAGAGGAAAATGTTTCAAAAGTTCCCTCCAAACTGCAAAAACCATATTTAACCCCCAACATCTGGGGCCCCAATCAAGTGTGAATGAATATATACTACAAAACTTCAATCTCTCTTACTCCTACTCTAGTATCATTCCCCGCTTAAGTGAAAGTCCTGGCGTTCAAAATGAATATTTCATCTCCATTTCACACCTGGCGCTCCATCATACATGCCAGCCATAATGTGGAGATGACACACCATGGTGGCACAGACATGATCAGAGGAGGGATTGAGGGGAGGGGAGGGGGGGGAGGCGCGGTAAATATAGCATCAGAGTCTTGGCGGGAGCCGACGACAATCTAGGACCTAATCTGAGGCAGTTATCAGCATCTGTTGCCTGGCACCCAGTTCTGTGGGGGTTTTAGTTATTCATCTATTGCTCCATATCTGTCACTTTTTTTTTTCTTTGCATCTGATTTCCCCGTACAGAGGATGCGTTCAAGAGTGTGGGAGGATGTAGCCTCTCAATACCCCCCAGTGAATCAGTCTGTCAGTAATGCAAGTATTTTTTGCTCGGCTCACCTGATTGCATGCGGAGCTGTGAAAGAGGTTAAGGTTGGGAAATTGATTTGTTTTGCCAATGGCCATGTTAAATGTAAATTGCCCGAGTGCCTGACCTTGAAGCAGTCCTGATTAATCATTTGCATATCTCCAGAGTGGTTATGTGTCTTCAAGCAATAGAGTGTGTCACTGTTACCGATGTATTTGTTTTCTAATCATCTGACAGCAGCTGGATGTAAAATTTAATATGTAACGACTGCTTTGTTATGCATGTATTCACTGCGTATGCAGGGAAGTCGCTTACTTGCAATACTTTGACAGAAAGCATTGATTGAACCTTAAAAAGTGTACAAATCTCCATGAGTATTCCCTGTGTATCTCAGCTATTCAAGTGTATGTTGAATTCGGTCACTAGAAGAAAGAGTATGATCTCTGGAAGGATTAACTGAAAAAAACATGACCAATCTAATTTATGACTGAGACAACAAGAAGTCTCAGAGCTTAGACAAACTGTAGCCCACTTGGGTGTGAGCTGACAAAAATGGAGACTACCACAAATCACAGGCTTACAGAGAGAACAGAGAGAAATTGAGGTTTGGCGTGTTTCGATGTGATTTACCAGCACCTTGGGTGACATCTGAACCAACTTTTTGACAAAGGTGAGAGCTGTAAACCAAGAGCATGTTGATCAGCATGGAAAGTTTTATGACCCTGTCTGAGCTGAGTACACCTCGGCTCATTTTGCTGAAGGTGAGCTGTTTTTATAAACCGTGCAGGGAGAAATACGTCGACTGAATTTGACGTCTTCCAGGCACTGTAGGTCCGACAAAGTTTGATTTAATGTGTCATTACAACTAGAAATGATTGCCGTCTTAAACTCAAATACTCTTCAACCTAAGTAGCTTTGAAACC